GTTATAAAAGACACTACACTGAAAAGTTACCTATGGATTTAGAAAACTTCCTTTTGGAACGAGGATTAAGTGAAGAGTATAAATACTTTGAGAAATGAAAAGGTAAGTACCTAATGCTAATTAATAATTATTAGTAATTTAGGACATACGTTTTATAGATCGTGAACATCGCTCACTAACAAAACCGCATTGCGATATTTCTTTTGGAATCTCTGTTTCTGGTTCTGCGGCCACTTTGAATGAGGGTGATTATATATATATATATATATATATATAATCACCCTCATTCAAAGTGGCCGCAGAACCAGAAACAGAGATTCCAAAAGAAATATCGCAATGCGGTTTTGTTAGTGAGCGATGTTCACGATCTATAAAACGTATGTCCTAAATTACTAATAATTATTAATTAGCATTAGGTACTTACCTTTTCATTTCTCAAAGTATTTATACTCTTCACTTAATCCTCGTTCCAAAAGGAAGTTTTCTAAATCCATAGGTATTTAACTTGTGTAGTGTCTTTTATAACCCCAAGCAGACTACAAAGATTGCTGAGAATGAACTGATTCTCTCCCCTGCAACAGCATCAGGTGACTTCACGTGGATTCACTAGACAAATCAGTAAATGTTATGTAGGAGAACAAGGCTAGATAAAAACTGACAACTGTTAGATATTAATTGACAATTGTTAGATATTGACAATTGTTAGATATGAAGTGACAATTGTTAGATATGAAGTGACAATTGTTAGATATTTAAAAGATCTTGGCCCCACGGCGCTTTCGTAATTAATAACTTCCTCTATTGCCTGTTGAAATATTGAGCATGCTGGTTTTGTCACAAAAGGTAACCTATTGACTTTATACACACCCTTAGTGCTTGTTCACAATGGACATAAGCGTAACAAAAACATAACAGATGCATAATTCATAATGTTGAATAGTAGCAAACCAACGTAGGTGTTCACAATGATTACATAATTTTTATTTTTTTGTAAATGTTTGCGTATGTTTTATGTCCTACCGAAAGGGTACATAAAAAATACATAAAGTTGGGTCGGTTTCAACTTTACGTAGGTTTTATGAAAAATCTAGTGGAATTAGGTGTATTTCTGTTGGGTACAAAGATGCAGCACTGCGCTGTTGGTTTGACATTTCAGTTACTACGTCTAACGTCGATGACATCTCTTCTGCCAACATAATCTGGTTATTTTTAAATTGGTACATAGTTTTTGGCGCATTATTTCATAGTTTGGTGTTGTTTGGTCCTTCGTGTGTTGTTCTTTGATTATATCCAACACGGCATGGAAAACATATAGACGTCGAATTACTGATTAGTTTGGTGCGATTAAAACCCTAATTGTTTAATAAAGGGGACAAAAGACCTATTAAGGTGATCGAATAATCCTGGTGTATGAAAAAAACCATTCTTCATCATGCAGCTTCATTTCTAGACACGCTTAAATTCTTAAATTCTCCCCTTTTCTCTCGGTCTCGATTTATAGGTCTGACCCACCAACGCCGTTTTTGTTTTGTAACAACTTTGTCTCTCTGTCTTCTTAACAGTAAAAGCAATAAAACTGTTGAAATTTCCATCCATCTCAGTGACACACACATATACACCACAAATAATATTGCTATGTTCTTGACGTTTTGCCGAGTTTAAATTTTGGATTTGCGCCTACACAGATAATTATAATCTTACGGTCACTGTGAACACTTTCTCCACCTGCGTAAAATTATGTCTTATGTCAATATTATGTTTTATGTATCTGTTATGTTTTTGTAACGCTTATGTCCATTGTGAACAAGCACTTATGCGTGCTCCAAGCTAAAAGCATTTTAGTATCATCATCAACCTCAAACTGATTATGCCCTCTTTCTAAATCCAAAACTGTATACTCCTCCCCACCTTCAAGAGCAGCAAACAATTCCTCTATTTTAGGAATAGGATAATTATAGTCTACTAAATATTTGTTTATAGTTAGTTTGTAGTTAGCGCAAACGCGAATATCACCATCTGGTTTTAAAACAGGCACTAAAGGTTACCTACTTTTTCAATAACACCTTGCTTTTCAAGTAACTGTAACTCATTTTCGACTTTAGACTTGAAAGCAAACGGAATAGTATGAGACTTTTTAAAAATAGGTGTCGTATCTGGTTTCACTGATAACTTAATTTTACGACCCACAAACCTGCCTAAATACCATCGAACAAATCTGAATAATTTTTTACAAGATTATCTATCCCTTCACATTTTTCCTTAATTTCATTTATTCCTGCTACAAACACATTAAAAGCTAGTTCACATCCACTTTAATTACGTGTCGTAACAATAAGACATGAAAAATGTAAAGTTGAAATGTACTACTTTAAAGGCGTCAGTTCACATTCGTATAAAACATGAGCCGCGCAACGTTACGTACGCAAAAGTTGACCGAACTTCAACTTAAACCACTTACGTTACGTACGTATTTCATGCAGGCCAATCAGCGCTTTCCAAAGTACCATTTATTTCACTGTCTCTCTTTGTCGCAAAAGGTTGTCACTTGTGTCAGTGTGGTGTGTTCTGTGCGTGTGTTCAAGAATCAACTGAAATGGACGACGCGAAATTAATCGAGTTCGTTCAGAGTTTTGCCAATCTGTACGATCGTCGAAGATCAGATTTCAAAGATAGTGAAAAAACGGGTCAATCTTGGAAACAAATATCGCAACTGATGCGTTATTCAGGTTTGTTAATTGGAAAAATCGCTGTGGAAATCGTATTACTTGTTCTATTTATTAATTATAGCTGTCGATTGTATGGCCCGCTGGAAATATTTGAGGGAAAAGTATTGCCGGGTACGAAAAGCAGGCCCGAGCGGAAGTGGAGCCTCTCCCGAATGGGATCATTATCGCCGTCTGTTGTGGCTTGAACCGTATTTACAAAAAAGAAGGTGAGATTTTTGTTTACTGTACGAAAGTTGTACAAAATATACTTATATAAACAATTTCTAGAACAAAGACGAGCGTCAATAATAGCGTTTATTCCTGCGCCAACACTGGCGAGGCTGAAGATGCCACCGATGTGGAAAGCCAGAGCTTCTCAGAAGGAACATGTCACAACAGCCCATTAATGGATTTAAATATAGATATACCGGGATGCTCAAACTCCAATGAAGTGATTGGACTGGAAAACCAGTTCACGCCAATTCCGGTTTCACCATCGCTGAACAAACCCCTCCCCATTGCTGGCGTGTTGCCCAAAGGAAAAAAGGACAGCAAAGAAAAAAGGGATAACACCGGCAACTTAAATATCATCAATAACATAACTCCTTTGACGACTAGGGGAGACTGGGGAGCATTCGGCCACGGGGAGCATTCAGCCACCTAGATTTTTTAAAAAAGTGTTTGATTTTCCCGGGCACGTTAGGGTTTTTAGTGTTGCAAACAAGTAAATCCTTACATTGAACCTCATTTTTACCGTGAATTGTAGGTGTTAACTTTTTGGTGAAGACAAAACTAAATACTGCGATTTAAGGTAAGATTACTGCATTAAGACTATTCAAAATATTACATCTTAAATGTTTTGCTATGGTGTTGTAATTTTTGTGGAGGACGTATCCAAACGTTAATGTGTTATGTGTGCAACGGTTTTTTAACCTACAAATTTGTATGACTTGTATCGGTTTACGTTTAAAAATCGGTAGGTTGGTTGGGGAGCATTCAGCCACCGCCGCCGGGTTGCATTCGGCCGGTGGCCGAATCCTCCCCGACCGGTGGCCGAATCCTCCCTGACCCAAAACTTTCAAACAAAGCATATGCCTACCTACGTTCAAACCATCACGTTGATTTTTCAGATGCCTAGAAAACGTGTGTTGAAGACCAATAGAAACTCAATAGATGAAATGACAGTGAAGCAAGCTATATTAGAGTATTTTAATGGTGTTTATTCTGAACGAGAAGCTGCGAGAGTACATTCAATTAAAAGGTCAACATTGCAGAGCAGAGTGAAGAAAATTTTAACAAATAAGACTAAAGAGCAATATTTAAGAGAGCAGAATTTAAACGACTCAGGACATGAAAGTGATATTGATGACTCTCCTCCTAAATATTCAAGCAAATATACCAATAGACAAGTCTTCAGTACACAAGAAGAACTAGAGTTAGAAAAATATATTAAAAGGTGTTCCGACATAAACTATGGCCTAACTTATGTTCAGATTCAGAAACTAGCCTATGAATTTGCCATTGCGTTGCCTCACTGTAATTTTCCTCAAGAGTGGCGTGAAGCAAAACAAGCCAAAGAAGGGTGGCTAAGAGGATTTATGGCAAGACATAAATCACTGGCTCTGAGAAAGCCAGAAAGTACCAGCCTAAGTCGTAGCACTGCTTTTAATAAGCATAAGGTGGATCAATTTTTCGAAAATCTTAAAAAAGTGTTAGATAAATATAAGTTTCCGCCTGAGAAGATTTATAATCTCGACGAGACTGGGGTAACCACAGTGATGAAACCAGTGAAAATTGTATCAACGTCTGGTAAAAGACAAGTGTCGCAAGCTGCCTCTGCAGAAAGGGGGGAGTTGGTTACATTTATTGGAATTATCAATGCCGCTGGACAATCAATCCCACCAGTGTATGTGTTTCCCAGGGTCCGAAATATTGAAGATTTTATGTTTGACTGCCCAGTTTCCAGTTTAGGCTTGGGCAACAAAAGTGGATGGATGACTACTGAACTATTTCCGAAAGTTCTCCAACATATAGTCGCGCATACTCATTGCACTGTCACGGAACCAATTTTATTATTGGTCGATAATCATGAATCACATGTTAATATTACAAGTGTCAGATATTGCAAAGAAAATGGAATTATCCTGCTCGGTTTTGCTCCTCACACTACCCACAGAATGCAGCCTTTGGACGTAGGCATTTATGGCCCCTTCAAGAACTATTGTAACGTAACATTCAACGATTGGATGACGTCAAATCCAGGGAAAACAATTTCTGTTAAACATATTCCACAACTAACGAAGATGCCTTACTTAAAAGCATTTACCGCCAGCAATATCATAAACAGTTTTCAAAAACCAGGAATTTATCCTTTTAACAGGCTAGCTTTTACTGACGAGGACTTCACTCCAAGTTATGTTACGGATCAACCTTTAATAACGGAAGAATGTAAACAAAATAGGGGAAATGAAAATAACGAGATACAATCGCAAATCATTAGCAATGAAACAACTCCAGAAAAGCCTCAACATGCAGATACCAGCAGTGCTAGCAAAAAAGCAAATGCAATCAATCAAATGAATCAAAATGAAAATGATAATCGCCAAACCGTAGAAACAATTAACCAATTAGGTAGATATTACAAATGCAGACACGCCATCATGTAGTGGCACAAATAAGGTTCCCAAGAAAAGGTTGAAATTAACACTCGAATCTATTAGACCATATCCAAAAGCTGTTAGAAAAACAGAAAAAAGAAAGAGAAGGCCTGGTTGCTCAAAGGTTTATACAGACACACCAGAGAAGAACAGGTTGGAAGAATTAGAAATGGAAAAAGCTAAGAAGAAAGAGGGAGTAAAAAGACGTTTATCGGATAAAACTAAGGTGACGAAAAAAGAAACAAAAACAAAAGGCAAAAAAATACAAATAGAGTCTCACAGCCAATTTGATTCATCATCTGATAAAAGTGATATATCACTACACGATCACTCCGAGGAAGATCTTTCAGACGAATATGACGAACTTGAAGAGCTTAAGGCAGGCGTGGAACTGCACAAAGAGGATTTCGTTTTGGTTCGGTTTAAAGTGAAATCTTCATTGGTGCATTATATTGGACAAATTTTAGAGATTGATGAAAGTAAGTTGAAAATCAAATTTCTGAGAAGGAAGGGTCTTTCTACAACATTTAATTTCCCCCAAATTGAGGATGTAAGTGAAGTAATAAATGACGATATTATCTGTAAGGTTACAGTATCTTCAAGGCCAGGGACTGCCAGAACAGCGTCTTCTTTTCATTTTTCATACAACTTTAGTACTTTAATTGTGAATTAAATTTCTTATATATGTACCTCTACCATCATAATCAATAAAAGTTGTTGTTTGACAGATCTTACTGCCTGGCCGAATGCTCCCTAAGGGTGGGGAGCATTCGGCCAATTGAAGCATTTTCAAAAAAAAAAAATTTAAATACCAACAAATTATTTTTTAGTTATAATGCACTTTTAGTAGGTCCCCAATGATCAATAATACGTTATGCGTTAATTAAACTGTCTCTTTTACCACAATTGTTTATATAAATATCTAAATAAAGCTAAGCGGCCGAATGCTCCCCAGTCTCCCCTACGTTGAGTTCGATCGGGGTTACGATGCAGGATCTAGTGGCCCATACCACCCATAAAAATACCACCGAGGAACAGTTTAATGAAGACCTATTATTTGGTCAGACCGTGAGTGCTTTTTTAAAGAAAAAAATGGACGGTAAACAGAAAAATTTATTAAAAAAAACAGTGTTCTCATTGATGATGGACTATGACGACGAATAACATCAATGATTTTCCAGTCTACAATAATTTATTGTTATGTTACATTAATAAATTGAATCTAAACGATCTTTAGATATAATTATTTTACCAGAGGGAGGTTTTTATTAAAAACTTTTTCTAGACATTTATGTTGCCAAGGTAATGCTCCTTCCTCTGTTAAAAAAAAAATACTCATCATGTCGCAGTCGAAATAATATTTTTGAAGAATTGTTGCTACCAGTTCTCTGAATAGACGTTAATACGTCCATTTGCCCAACTTCTTGACGCCATTCCCCTAAGTTTTCAAACCCATTAATATTTGGTCAACGTATTTGGGAGGACAATATTTGTGTTCGTTCGGTTTAAGTTTCTCCTGTGACATCATTATAAGGTTATGTAGACATACTGTAGCGGCGACAATATTGTCCACATTTTCAAGTTTTGCACATATGGGAGTATGAAATACCCTCCAACGAGCAACCAAAATCCCAAACGCGTTTTCAATAGTTCTTCTAGCTCTGGATAGTCTGTAATTAAATATTCGCTGTGAATCAGTCAATTTTCTGCCTGGGTATGGCCTCATTATAAATGGTTTTAGCGGGAATGCTTCATCTGCGACCACGAAATACGGAAACGATTTCTGTGCTCTGCCAATGTTCGAAGGCTTTGGCAAAAGCATCTCATTTTTTTCGAACATTCGCCCCATTTTCGATCTTGAAAATAGTCCCCCATCACTTTCGGAACCCATTCCACCAATGTCTACCAAACTGAATTTGTAGTTTTCATCACACACTGCAAGTAATACAATACTGAAGAAATGCTTGTAATTAAAATAGACACTTCCTGTGTTAGGGGGTGCTTGAATGCGTACATGTTTTCCATCTAGTGCACCTAAAGCAGTAAAAATTGAATGATAGTAGACTTTATTCTACCTGAGGAGATGTGTTACCTATGCAATGTGGAAAATTCCACTTTTGTTCAAACCTCTTCGCTATATTAAGCCAAGTATATGTTGATGGTTCGATTAGAACTTTCTTATGCAGGGCCTCCCATATAGCTGAACATGTTTCACTTATCACCATAGACACTGTGGACTTTCCAACTCTAAACGAGAATCCCAGGGTCTGCTGTGAACATCCAGTAGTCAGATATCTGAAAACGTTGTTATAAAATATATATATGCATGGTTTACTATAACCATTGTATCTACTTTATACAATGCTATAACTAATAACTGTTTACCGCAATGTGATGGTTAGTCTGTGACCAGGTGCGAGAGGCTCACGATTGCTTCTTTTGACGAGCAATGGGCCGACGATTGACAAAAGCTCGTAAAATGGAGGAACAGACATTCTGGTAAAATGAAAAAACATTTCAGCGGTTCAGCCTCATTTCCACCATCAAATTATGATAGTCTCCCTGCTCTTTTCTTTTTTTGGTAAATTGGCCTCACCCAAAATCTGAAAGTAAATAATATCCATGTTTAATAAATAAAATTCTCTGTTGGATTACTATGTATAGGTACTTACCGTCTCTTGCGACGTTCTTTTTTCGTCTTTCCAGGAGAGTTTCCATCCTGGCTGCAGTAAACGGCGCACGCAGCGAGCATGCAAGCACTCGCAGCAAGGATTATTGGCCGCACTACTTCAACTATATCCATGTATATTTACTATTTATAACAACAACAGTAGAACTACACAGTCAGATTATTTGAGAACCGTTAAATTGACACTAATGACAGCTCGTTCGCGCCAAAGTTTCCCATGTTTTCTACGACTCCCATGTTTCACTGTGAACGGGAAGGTCTACATTGTGAACTTATCGTTAATTTTTTTCTGTTACGACACGTAAAAGGAAAAAGGCCAACGTGTTTCATTCCTCCGGCACCCCTGACTACAGGGATACCGGAGGCGGGCTGCTCAGGGCTTCCTGGCCCTCTTCAGCCAGAGAACGGGATTGTAAGGATGGGTAAAGTTAGGGATTGGAACGGAAGGAACGGAGTTAGGGTGCTGAGGGGGAGAGTACTGCTCCAGCACGACACGTAATTAAAGTGGATGTGAACTAGCTTTTAAACCACTTACGTTACGTACGTATTTCATGCAGGCCAACCAGCGCTTTCCAAAGTACCATTAATTTCACTGTCTCTCTTTGTCGCAAAGGGTTGCCACTTGTATCAGTTTGGTGTTTTTCCGTGTGTTCTTTGCGTGTGTTCAATAATCAACTCAAATGGACGACGCGAAATTAATCGAGTTCATTCAGAGCCAATCTGTACGATCGTCGATCAGATTTCACAGATAGTGAAAAAACGGTGAGATTTTTGTTTACTGTGCAAAAGTTGTACAAAATATACTTATATAAACAATTTCTACAACAAAGACGAGAAATTAATAGTAGTGTTTCTTCCTGCGCCAACACTGGCGAGGCTGAAGATGCCACCGATTTGGAAAGCCAGAACTTCTCAGAAGAAACATGTTACAACAGCCCATTCATGGATTTAAATATAGATCTACCGGGATGCTCAAACTCCACTGGATTATAATTATAATTCGCACTGCTTCAACTATATCCATGTACCTATATTTACTATTAATAACAACAACAGTAGAACTACACAGTTAGATTATTTGAGAACCGTTAAATTGACACTAATGACAGTTCGTTAGCGCCAAAGTTTCCCATGTTTTCTACGACTCCCATGTTTCGCTGTGAACGGGAAGGTCTACATTGTGAATTTATCGTTCATTTTTTTCTGTTACGACACGTAATTAAAGTGGATGTGAACTAGCTTTTAGTCTCTCCCAAAAAGACTGCTACGATTATGTGTTTTTGTTACAACCAGATTATGGTACACACTTTTACCTTTAAACGTTATCTGTACATTCACTTCACCAATTACATGTGACGTGCTATTATTTACTTTAACAATCGATAACTTTCTCTAATTTCAAATTTACTTAAAAACTGATTATATTAATTTAATGGAACAACAGAAATGTCTGCACCACTATCTATTTCCATTGGAAATTCAATATTCCCATCAATTAAAACACACACGAGGATTCTTTGAACTTGACTCATTTACAACAGTTCGGTATCGTTTTCCTTGGCTTCGTCGAACTGCACTTTGCGCTTACGTTTCCTCTGCACATCGTATGCGTAGCTATTTTCCCCAGATTTTTCAACAGCTTTCGACTCATAATGATCAAAGGTACTGGATTCCCTTAAGCCTTGTAGGTATGTTATCAAAGACTGATAAGAGTTCAGCGACCGTGCCCAGGTCAATGTTTACAGATTGGAGAGACTTGCTCACTTTGTTAAATCTTTCCAAAATGTCATTCCAGAGAAGTGCCAAAAAGCAAATTTCCATAGAGTCTAATGAACTCAGAAGACTTGAAGCCTCAGAGCTAGTAGATGGTTTTTCGTTTGCGTTATCGGCAATCATCATATTACCATCAGGTGAAGCACCTAAATATCCGTACTCTAAAACAAATAACCCCGATGGATTCACATCCATGCCAGTTAATTCTTCAAATTTAGATATGGCTATAGACTGGTTTATTTTGCCATATTCTACTGCAGCGCTATAAAATTCACGTGGGCATAAAATACGGGAAACCAACGAATGGCAAGAAGTTGACTAACCGCCCCAAAGATCGAAGCAGTCAACCTGTGCATTCTTTCGGAACGGTATACGGGATTATTAAACTGACCTTTTGTATTTGATTCAATCTCTTTCTGTCTGCTGGTACTCACCTACAATACCCAACATAAAATGTGCGGAAAATTGTTCAAACATTGCAATAGAAGCACAAACAAGGTGGAACATCTAAATTCAAGTATTTTTCATCAAAAAGGTGCCTTCTATAAGTCATTGGCGACCCAACAAATTTTTCATCGTTTATCGCATAAAAAGAAGTTACTGAAGACATTTACGGTTATTGATAATTGAAGAATTGAATATGGGCTCTAATTTTTGTGTTCTAATGTGGTTCATTTATTGAGTAGCAACGTTATCAATAAAATCAAAATGTCTGAACGTTCACGCGTCTGATCGTTCGAATGTAAAACCTCTTTGACACATAAAGCTCAAATTGGTACACATATATGCTATAAACAACTTACGTAAGAACTGATTAGATGTTGAGTTTAAGGGATGCAACACCTGAGGTACGAGACACAGAACGCGTATACTCGCGCTACTTGTATGTTTTTGTGTGGATTTCTTACGTACCTGTAGACGTTGTATTAGTTTTTGTCCTTTCTTCTTCTAAATCTGATGTTGATACATCCACTTCTGAAATATTTGGACCATATTCGATAACACTGTCTTTTTTATTAAATGTTAATTTGCGTTTGAAATGCGGTCTCTTCTTTGATTTAGCCTTTAAAGTCGAAGTTATGTATTTGTTTAGAATACTATTAGAGCTTTTTTTGTAACGTCTTGTCGAACAAGAAGAGTGCCAACCAACACCTTGAGAAAAACGTAAACCACTGAGGTACGATCTAATCGAAAAACTATTTCTTTGAATCAGATTCAATCGTTTCCCCATATTAAATCTCGCAAGTACGTTCATATATTGGTATCTTAATTGGTAAGTTGCTGAATTTTAAGAACTATATTATTCAGAGAGCTGCGAAAATATGATGATGCAGTCCCGATGTAAGTAAAACATCGTGTCCTTCTGTTTGAGTTCCACTTTTTTCGCACATCTTTTCGTCGCATCCTATATGATTTCCAAATGCACAATGAGTACTATTACGTATACAATGTTTGCTATGTTCAATATTTGAGCTGTCAATATTCTTTATACCTTTTCTTACACCGTTGGTTAAATCTTGAATTTTTTTGGCTGACATCAACTTTCTTGCTTCTAAAGAAACTGATTTCGTATTTGTTTTATTTTTGTAGATTTTTTGTAAAATTTTTTATACACATTCTATTTTCTCTACCTCCATTCCACATGGAACTGTTTTTTGAGAATGTTTCGGAAAACTTGAGTATCTCCGTCACCTATTAGCTTGGTGTATTTTAAACTGTGCATTTGTATACTGCATTTAAATCCTTCCACAATAACATCCGCTTCCATAGATGCTGACGATTTGTTATAGTTTTTATAATGATGCGTACGGGCACAAATGCAGCAGTATTTGTTTTTTACCCCTTACCTTTCCAATAATTACAGCCTAAAATATGTTGCTATTATTATACTGTAGCCATGGCTCCTTAATGTATGCAAAGGGTTATTAAAGAGCCTCTGTTTCAATACTAATAAGCTGCAAGGGAGCCTAGTACAGACTATTTTACTTCCATTTTGTGGTCATTAAAGAGCTTATATATATATATATATATATATATATATATATATAATATAATTATATTATGTATCCCCAAACGTCATTTTCAGTATTGTTAGTACAATATTTCTTCCAACTTTCTAATCTTGCTTTTAATATTTCCGTTTTGTATTTATTTCTTGAAATTTTGTAGTCTTCTAATAAAATATTATTTCTTCCTGGAATTGTAGTATTTTTCTTTAATTTCCATCCTAATTTATTTGTTTCTTTTCTTAATTTATTTAAATTATCATTCCACCACGGTACACTATTGGCAAAAAATTTTTTCTTTGGAATATTCTTTTGGCACGATTCAACAATTTTATCATTTAATATTTTTGCACACTCATCTGCATCTAAATTTATATTCATATTTAACAATAATTTTAAATCTTGTAAACCTAAATTTAAAGTATTTTCAAAATGTTCCCAATTTGCCTTCTTTGTACAAAATTTATAAATTTCTGAATTTTCACATTTAGATTTTTTAGTTAAATTCCATGTTATTAATTTATGATCTGACAATGTTTCTACGTCTTCAATTTTCCAATTATCACAAAATTCAAAGATTTCTTCTGACACAGCAGTTACGTCAATATTACTTCTCCCATTCGTTCCAACAAAAGTTGGATTATTATTATCATTTAAAATTATAAAATTATTACTATTTAAAATTTCGGAAATCTTTTCTCCTCTTCTATTTTCAACATCACTATACCATAAATTTGATTTAGCATTGTAATCTCCAGCAATAATTATTTTATTTTTTTTTCCAATTTTAAAAATTATTTCTTCAAATAAATTACAATAATTTACATCTTCATTAACATCCGGAGGGAGATAAACCGAAACAATAAATAATTTTGATAAATTTCTAAAATTAATTTCAATAGTAGTAAATGTACACGTTGCTTCCAAATTTTGATATATTATACATGATTTATATGTTTGTTTTTCTTTTAATTTTGATACTTTCATAACACTAAATCTTGATGAAAATCCCACAATATCTCCTCTCCTTACATTAGGTTCTTGTACTAAACATATATTAATTTTGTGCTTATCCATTAAATAAATTAAATTATTTGTCCCCGCTTTACTTTTACCCAAATTTAATTGTCCAAATTTAATAAATAGTTTTTTATCCATAATTTATTCTGTTTTCTAGTCCTTTTAATTGGTTTTCCAGCGAACTGCAAAAATTACTGAAAACCTCGTGCTCGGTATTTAAAATTAATTTATTCCTTGAAACATTAAATTTTTCGCACATGGGACAACAGGGTTTGCTTGATTCACAATTCTGTCTTCTGTGTCCCTTTTTTCCGCATCTACCACACATTTCTTCGGTCTCCTTACAATGCTTGGACATATGTCCGAAACACCAACATTTATAGCATGTTAAAACTGATAAGTGGTCTTCAAC